AGCATCTTAGCGAGCATTGCCTCATCATCGTTAGCATCTTAGCGAGCATCGCTCATCATCGTTAGCATCTTAGCAACATCCTCATCAATCGTTAGGATCTTAGGCGAGCATCCTCATCATCGTTAGCGATCTTAGGCGAGGCATCCTCATCATCGTTAGCATCTTAGCGAGCAATCCTCATCATCCGTTAGCATCTTAGCGAGGCCTCCTCAATCATCGTTTCGGCATCTTAGCGAGCATCCTCATCATCGTTTTACATCTAGCAAGCATCCGTCATCAATCGTTAGCATCTTACAGCGAGCATCCTCATCATCGTTAGCATCTTAGCGAGCATCCTCATCATCGTTAGCATCTTAGCGAGCATCCTCATCATCGTTAGCATCTTAGTGAGCATCATCATCATCGTTAGCATCTTAGCGAGCATCCTCATCATCGTTACCATCTAGCGAGCATCCTCATCATCGTACCATCTTAGCGAGCATCCTCATCATCGTTAGCATCTTGGCGAGCATCCTCATCATCGTTAGCATCTTGGCGAGCATCGGTGTCGTTATCGTAGTAACGCGTCGCGCGCGCTGTGGATGCCCGCTACACGTTTCACGCGTCATTCGCGCCTCGACCGTCCGGAACAATCACACGCACGCGGTCTCTCGTGTCACCACGCTCGTTTCAAACTCGGAATTTTAATGGTTTCAAAGCACGTTAATAAACCCATAAAACTAAAACCTTTCAAAAACTTAAATGATAAATAAGAAAAAATATTAATGATAAAATAATTAAATTTCTACATGAAATTAAGATACCTACCAAAACGCTCCACTGAATATCTTTCTATGAGCCCGTAATTAGAAACATTTTACGCGATCAAATTAAAGTCGGCGACCGAGATAGTGACGTTTAGTGTTAGTTTCATTGTTTTAGTGCTTTGTTAATTCTTTCTCAGCACAATGCAAGCGTCGCTAAACACAAGGGGTGGGACGATTCATCGATATATCGACGTATCACGATACAAACCTCGACGATGCACGTATCGATACGTTTGACCATTCACGATACACGTATCGATACGTTTGACCATTCACGATACACGTATCGATACGTTTGACATTCACATACACGTATCAATAGGTTTGACCATTTACGATACGCCGCATTGATAGCGTTTGAGCCATTCACGATATGCCCACCGATACGTTTGGATCCATTCCAGATATGCCCATTCGATACGCTTGACCATTCACGATACGCGGCATCGATACGTTTGACGGCATTCACGATATGCCCATCGCGTTTTCTGCTTGATATTAGTTGCGTTTTCAATTTCCAGTTCGATAAGGTTTAATTCAGTCGAGACCTGAAATTGATGCTTCGTTAATACTGAGAGAAATTATGGGTTTCCATGGCAACGCGACTATTTCACCTAGCATCACCTTATAGCTTGCTATTATGAGGATGCTGCGAGTGATGAAACGTGTCGTGTATGACTCTCGGGCTACGCCACCGTCACGCGTCCTGTCGCCTCGGTAACGACACCGATGCTTGCTAAGATGCTGCGGATGCTGGGGATGCTGCGTTAGTTGCTTACGAGTTTAGAGATAGTTGCGTGTTGTCTATTTATAGCTCTATGGGGTTTTATTCAATACGACATTGCAATTGGTAGATGCTGGGGGGGGGGTGTAGTTTTTGAAGGCCACACAGCTGTCGCACCTTGGTGACAACACCCTATGCTTGCTAAGATGAGGATGCTGAGGATGACGAGGATGAGGATGCTGCGATAGTTGCTCACGAGCGCGTATAGTCTATTAATAGCTTGACGAGTTTTCATTCAATGTTACGAGATGCTAGGGGGGGCATTGGTTTAGAAGGTGTCACTCTCTGTCACCTCTGTGACAACACCCTATGGTTGCTACGATGTTAAGGATGCTGCAGATGCTGGGTTGGTTGCTTACGAGTGCGTATTGTCTATTTATACCTCGATGCGCGCGTGTTGAGGTGGGGTGTTGTTAGATTAGATTTGAAGGTGACCTCGTGTCACACCTCTGTGACCAAACCCTATTCTAGATGAGGATGCTGAGTATGATGAAGATGCTGAGTATGATGAAGATGCTGAGTATGATGAAGATGCTGAGTATGATGAAGATGCTGAGTATGATGAAGATGCTGAGTATGATGAAGATGCTGAGTATGATGAAGATGCTGAGTGAAGATGCTGAGTATGATGAAGATGCTGAGTAG